TGCATTGTATGTTAGTCTTATGGGTATGTTAATTCAGGCAGGATAGACTCAAGGTCAAATTTTGGTTCCCATGGATTTGATTTAATTTTCCTCAGCTTCAGCTTGAACTTGCATATGAGTAGTTGTTCCACAGCCAGCACAGTCAGCTGATATTGAGCTTCTCCAGTGGTTCTTTCTATAGATGTAATTGATCTGACTGCCATGCATACCATCAGGTGAAATACATGTGTATAGCCTGTGTTTACATTTCTTATAAAATGTATTTATAATTAATAATTCACTGTGCAAAATTCCATCATTCTATCTCGAGCTTCATTTCTGTCACCAAGTCCCTGTTTTCCAACTACTGATCTTTCTTCTCCGTTACCAACTTTTGTATTCCAGTCCCCCACTATTATTAATGCATCTTGATTGCATGTTCAATCAATCTCTGATTGCAAAAGTTGGTAGAAATCTTTTTCTTCCTCCTCTTTGGCTCTGGTTGTTGGTGCATATATTTGAATGATAGTGGTATTCACTGGACTTCCTTGGGTGTGTATGGATACTATCCTTTCACTCACAATATTGTATTTCAAGACAGATCTACAAATAACTTTTTTAACTACCAAAGAAACCTCATATTTCCTCACCTTTTCATCTCCAGCATACTAAAACATATGATCTTCTGACTCAAAATGTCCCATGCCAGTCCATCTCATCTTGCCAATACCTAGTATGTCAATATTCATGCATTCCATTCCTTTCTTAACAATATCCAGTTTTCCTGTATTTATGGTTATCACATTGCATGTTCTAATCACTAATATCTGCTTACAGCTGTTCCTCCTAATACATGTAAGTGGAATTTTTTTTAAAAAATATTGCAGTTATTACAATTAACTACAGAGCTCTGGTGGTCTAGTGGCAAGAAGCCGTGCTGTGAAAGCATGTGGTTCTAATCCACCAGATGTTCCATGGGGAAAGGATGAGTAACCTCCTCTGGGGTGATTAACTGCCTCTGAAAACCCACTGGAGGGTCAGCTATGAGTCAGTTCCAACCCTATGATACATAACAAGAAGAAGAATGTACAGAACAAGGGAGCACTACGTGGTTTAAAATGAAAAAGGGAGTATGTCAGGATTGTATTCTCTCTCCATACCTATTCAATCTATATATATGCTGAGCAAATTATTCAAGAAGATGGACTCTATGAAGAGAAATATGGTATCAGGAGTAGAGGGAAATTAATCAATAACCTGTGTTATGTAGATGACACAATCTTGCTAAAAGTGAGGAGGACTCGAAGCACTTGTAGATCAAAGAATACAACCTTAATATGATTGCATTTGAATCAATGTCAAGAAACCAAAATTTCTTAACCACCGGATTGATAGGCAGCATCGTGATAGCATTTTGCTTGGATCCACAATTAACACCCTTGGCACCAGCTGTCAGGAAATCAAGAGATATATTGCACTGGGAAATTCTGCAGTTAGGGACCTCTCCTAAATATTGAGGAGTAATGATGTCAGTTTGAGGACTGAGGTGTGTTTGACTCACCCATGGTCTTTTCCAATCACTTGTTATGCATCTGAGAGCTGGGCAATGAGTAAGGATGACAGAGAAATAATTGATGCCTCTGAGCTGTGGTGTAGGAGAAGAAAACTGAACATCTAATGGACTGCCAAAAGAACAAACAAATATGTCTTGGGAAGGGTGCAACTGGAGTGCACTTTGGAGGCAAAGATGATCAGGGTTTATCTCACATGCTTTAGCCATGTTGCTAGGAGAAGCTATTCCTTGAAGAGGAACATAGTGCTCGGAAAGGTGGAGGATCGGTGATGGAGAGGGAAGAGCCTCTATCAGGTGGATTGACATGGTGACTACCACAGTGGGCTCTAATGTGTCAGTAAGTGTGGAGATGGTAGGGTTCAGATCTTTTGTTTATAGTGTTGCCACAGGTTGTAGTCAATTTGATAGCACCAAACAACAACAGGAATGTCTTTCAAAAACTAATGCATTTCTCTTGAAATATTGAAACAAAATTTTATAGACAATAATTTTGGTGTCACTGCCTCTGACTGTGTCATTCCCACCCTGCTTTTGTGATTTTACTAGCTGTCCTCTGGTACAATGTCTTAGTGTCAAATCAGAAGCAGCCAGTAACCGATTACCTGTCAACACTACCTGTAAACCAGTTTGGTTTAATAGACTGTAGTTGTGTGCTGTCAAGTCAGAACCCACTTATAGCTGACCCTCCAGCAGGATTTTAGAGGCAGTAAATCACACAGGAGGAGACTTCCCATCTTTTTCCTGTGGAGCAGATGGTGGATTTGAACCATGAAAGAACTAGGAATTTGAAGACTTGGTGTCTAATCTTTCACTTACTAATCAAGGTGACAAGAGGTTAAATATTAGGCTAAGAACATGTGAGATGTCAGAAGGAAAGCTTCATTTCCAGTTAACAAGTCCAATCTCTAGTCTTTGCACCAAAGCCAAGATTGTCTTCATTTAAGTCTGGTGTCCTATATCTATCTGTTTATTAACAGGTTCTTTAACTGTTTGAACACAGAAAGCTTCCATAGGGCTGACCATATGGATCTTTTTCCTACCCTCTCTTTTCTTCTTTGTACATTGCATGCAAGCCCATGTGGACCTGACTCTGCTTTGTTATGCTTGTGGTGGCAGGGCCTTGCAAATGCCACTGTCGCCTCAATCATTAATGCATTTCTGCATGCCAACATTGTAATAAACTGCGCTCCGTTACAGAGTTTGGAAAAAACAGGCCCTCTTTTGTTTTAGCATTTGTTATTTGTATTCTGTGGTTAACCATTGTGTGCAATGCCTGCAAAGATGTATAGTTCATTTTTCATTGAAAGGAGTTAGTGTGGCTTCCCCCCTCCTCCACTAATAAATTGGTTTTTGTGAGAACCAGCTGGTGTTTGAAGGGCTAAGTTCCAGGCAGTAAAAGGAATGCTGCTATACAGCATGGGCAAAGGGCTGAAAATATGGGAGCCCTATCTGACGAAGGGTTGTTGGCCTCTGTAGAGGGAGTGGGTTACAATAGAAATTAAGCTGAGCTGGAGAAACTGTCCCTTTTCTGCCTGGAAAAGGATTCATGTGAGATGTTAGGAAGACAGTTTAGGGGGAAAAACTCCTAAGTAAATAGAGTTTCAGCCAATACTTTCATGAACTTCACCCTTCTTTGGAATGTTTTCATTCTCTGGGGGGAAAACAGAGATTGAGTCACTTATTCAGCGTGAGTGGGAACTTGACTAAAAAGGAAACCTCAGGAGATGTTTTCCCTTCCGAGCTTTCTTAGGACCCAATTTGTAAGCTCCGAAACTTCACCAGAGAAATAGAGAAATGCTCATTTCTAAGAGATGCATCTCCCAGATTTCTTTCTTATGTAGGGCTGTAAATTTTCTTGACAATGAGGAGGACCCCTGACATAACTGTCTGATGCAAAAGTCTGGTACTCCCACAACCATGATTTTTCATGTTGACTCTGCCATCTCCTCCCCACCCTAACTCCCTACATTTCACACGTATCACACTGAATTGATAAATCCTTTGCTCTGGTTATCCAAACTGCTAGATGTCTGATAAAAATATCATCCTTGGAGCCAGAGCCATGTCACCTCTGGGTTCCTGCATGCTAGCTGTCATTTTGGTCCTGAACAGCAGAAGGAGATGTTGAGTCAGAGGATAATTTTTATTTTTTTTTTAAAACTTAGTATGTAAACAATTAGTGGAGCATTTAAAATAATTAGAAAGCTGAGGGCTAAAGTGGTTGTTTTGTTTTACAGGAAAGCTCTCTTCTTTCAGAGGGCCTTCAACATAAAACCATTTTCACTAGTGTTTTCTATATAGAATGAGCCTTCAGGGAGCCATCTCATTCTGCTGGAAGGCAAAACCTTCATTTGTCTGGCTTATCTCTGACTCCTCATTTTCTTGTGGGGGCAGGTTCTGAGTATGTACGTTGTGGCCTAAAGTGTCAGTGGCTGGCTTGGGTTCCCGTGGGCAGGGAGCGTGGATGTGCTAAGTCCCCTGCTGCAGAATTCTCTAGTTGTGGTTGAAGCTTCTGTAGTCACATCAACCTGCACTGTGCTACCCCAAAGCTTGTCATACATCCTGAAGCCAAGGGTCCTTAGAGAGGAAATTTGCCTTCCTTTAAACACACCATTTTTCCAGTTTGAAGGGAACAATGCAATCCTACTTCCAAGGGTGTTATGTCACCATAAATTTGTCTTCCTAAACAGCAGAGAAGGATGGGATGTGGGCAGGATTGCTCCACAGCCATTGCTAATTTGATTAGGCATTTGAAGGGATTTTCCATCTGGAAATTAACCTCTACATTTTGTAGTCTATAGTGTCTTTCCCAGAAGACTTATTCTATTGTTTAAGCTGATGAGTACAATTTTCCTTTAAAATACTCTATTATATTACAATAACTGTGGCAATTCAGTAAATATCATCAATTGTTTTATTGTCAAAAATGTTTTTTTAAATGAACAAAGTCTCAGTGGACTCTGTTTTAAGCTGGATCATAATACATTGTTTTGCAAATTGATGCATTTATTTCATATCTAGATTCCCTGGAGTTCCAAGATTAACCTTCTTTTAGTCTTTTACGTTCTGTTAACTTCACCGTGTAATGTTGCATGCCATATCAATGTTTCTCATGTCTTTGAAGCTCAGACAACCTTCTGTCCCAATGTTATCAAAAACCTGTAGTTCAAACTCAGCTCAAGATGGTGATTTAGAGTTTAGGTAATTTGAAACATCCAAGATGATTCTGTTTTTGTAATGTTTACCCTCTAACTTCCTGGAATTTGGAAATTTGTTATGGTATCCCCATCACAAGGAATTATCGAGCCAGCTTACTGAAACTGGATCTTGTGCCAAGCCTGTCTGAATAGTGACGAAATGAATTTACCTCTCGGTCACTCTCTTTCATTAGAGTTAATAGGTATGTGTTGTATGCTGTTATGATTTGCTTCTCCTCTCCTTCTCTAAGGAAAGCAAAGGAAAGTTTGTTTGGACAAAGCAGAAGTTTTTCCAATGGCCATGTAGTTTGTGAAAAAAAGCAGCAGCTGGAGTTGAACTCAACTGTAGAAGAAACCATAACAGGAGATTATGCCTTAATCATAAATGGCCACAGTTTGGTGAGTCTGCTTAAGGCTTTTGTTCTTTTTCCTTTTCCACCCCAATAATCATCTCTATTGTGTAGTTATAATGAGACTTCTTTTTGCATTTTCCAAACAAATGACACCAGTAGAAACAAGGCGTCTAGAGTGATTTCCTCTTTGCAAAAGGAAGGGAAACTTCTAATATATATTTCATACATTCTTGTTGGAACCACTGCAGTCAAGGGGAGGGTCCAAAGGAATAGTCTGAATTAACAGACTATCAATGACAGTAGAACATCTAACAGCATGACTTCAGTGTTTTACTAATGGGAGAGTGTCATAGCTCGCTGTTGGTTAATTAAAATAATGCAACTGGATGGATGCATTCTAATTATTGTTCTTATTAATATTAGTGATTTGCTGAGCACAACTTGACCTTCGTATAATTACCACACCAAATTATTGCCATTAAGATACCTCTAGTGGTTTTGCTAAGTAGCAGCATTTTACCGCAATGCCAAACAATTTGCTTTGATTAGGAAATCTGTTTCTTGTCAGAATAGAATAAACTTGCATTGCTCTTTTAATGTAGTTCAGGTTCCAAATCTTGAACAAATATCAAAACACTCCTTTGAGTTTCTAATTTAAAAAGACAAAAGCTCCAATTGCACTTCACTGAAATGATAATTTCGATGCGCAACAAGCTAATCTAGCATCTTTCTCTGGCTTTGATAATAATTTTTATTTCAGAGTCTGGAAAATAAGTGTATCTTCTTGTAGACAATTTTTTAGAGGACAGAAGGAGTTGGAAATGAAAATATTGTATTTTCCCCCTTGTGATCAGCTGTCTGTTAGCTCTTAGTGCTTAGAGTATTATCCAGCTGGATCCCAGACGTAATGATGTGTTGCCGTCTACACCATGGAAAGTTACAGAGCTCAACTACAGGCCAAGCTCAGTTGAAAGGTTGTCCAGATGACATAAACCTCCTCTTCCTTGTACAGATGACCAGCAACTGAAAATTATAAGCCTTCCAGCTGGGATTTAGAGCTGTTAGGGACTATAAGGCAAAAAGGGCTCCTACTAAGTATTGTTTTGACTTTCTCTCATGCTCAAAGTGGTCAGTGTATGGCCAAATTAGATTATTCAGGCAACTATGTTCGCTTTCCCCTACATCTGTCTTTATGTTTAAAGAAGGCACTAAAGTCGATACTCTTCAAGAATCCTTTAGCTTCAACCCTTCAGTCTCATCAGACTATTTTATGAAGACTTGATCTTATTTCTGCTAGTATGATTAGGTGCTTTTTTACAAAGAAGTCATGATCTCAGTTTGCTCAAATCCTGATTCTTCGCATAATTTAACTAGTATTTTTTATTATAGAGTCCTAGTGCCTTGATAATAATAATACTAATAATAATAATAATAATAATTTACTGCTTGTTGATACTAAGACAAAAGAAGTGGGACAATATTGGGTAAGACAGCAAGTCATATATATGTGTTCAGTTCTACAAAGAGAGAAAGTACTTGAAAATGCTAAATATTTTCTAGGAATTATAGACTTGCACACGATGATTTCCTCTACTAGAACCACATTTTTTTCCTTCCTTCCTTCCTTCCTTCCTTCCTTCCTTCCTTCTTTCCTTCCTTCCCTCCCTCCCTCCCTCCCTCCTTCCTTACCTTTTTTCTCTCTCTCTCACCTTCCACCCCCCTCTCTATACCATTCATATTTTTAAGGTCATAGTGCTAGGATCTAGGGTATGAATGAGAATAGGATCAGAATTAAGAATATGACTATCTATTAGGGGAGATAATCACACAGTGGCATGCCATATGCTATCATTGAAGAATGAACACAATGCTTTGAGCATAGATGCAGGCATATTTAATTCCTCTTGGAAAAGTTAGGGAAGACTTTTTGGAAGAAATGGTATTTTCTGAAAGAGGTAGTACCAAGATTAAAGGCTCAGAAGTAAGAAGTAAACTGTCAAATTATAAGAAACACGTAACGACATGGCAGAAATAGCAAGTATTCTAAAGATGATCTTGAAAGATAAAGCTCAAAAGGAAGGTAGGCAGTAGATGTAAAGGGCTGTGAATTTCTTTCTAAGTAATTTATAGATAAAAGATTTTCACTTATTCAAATATTCCTTCATAGATACCCATCACTCAATGTTTAGATAATAGATTCTTATTATTCCTAATAAGCTTATTAAATAGTGTACATTTTTATAAGAGAAATCATACAATTAAAAGGAAAGGATTATGTTCTCTTTTATAGTAATTTCTTGGCAACTCTAAAGTTTTGTACATGTTTGCAAGTGATGAAGCTTTTCAGAGAACCTTATCAAAATAACCTTTACATAGGCTTTTCTTTCTTAGTTTCAATTACTAACTTCTTCGAGAAACAATCTCCACATCATATGCTTTTAATTTTGCTCAAGCATTAACAATTAGAGAAACAGAGCAATAATACAAAGGAAAGAAAAATTCCATCCTGTAACACAACAATAACAATCACCCTTATTTTGTAGTTCATTCTAAGCTTGATGAGATGGGGACAGTGTCTCTTATTTTTAATTTTTATCTGTTTCTATAGATTCCCCAGGGAACTCTAGTTGTCTAGTGGGTGGAGAGTTTCACTATCACCCCAGAGGTGGGTGGTTTGAATCCACCAGCTGCTCTGTGGGAGAAAAATGAGCAATCACCTCCTATGTACTTTAAGAACCAACTCACCATTAACCCTTTGGTGAGTTTTCAGAGGTAGGTCTGTCCTGGAGAGAGTAGAACCAAGTTTCTCCTTGGAGGCAAGGATTTTGAAGCCCTGTCTCACAAACTTTGGGCACGTGGCCAGAGGGACCAGTCCTTGGAGAAGGAAGACCCCGGAACAGATGGATTGAGACAGTAACTAGGATAATGGGGGTAGGTGTGTCAGTGTCAGTAAGACTGGTTCAGGTTAGGGCAGGCTTCGGAGCTATTGTACATAGGGTCGCTATGGGTCCCAGGTAATTCCATGGCACACAAAAACAGCAACAAATTACACTGGATGAGATTGCCCATCTTTCTCCCTTAGAGTAGCACAACTCCTTATCATTAAGCCACCAGAGCTCCCAATGATGTAAAGCCATGTGATTTACAGCTTCTGAAAACCTGCTGGAGGGTCAGCTATGAATTCTGACTCAACAAACAATGAGCTAGTGTGTAAGAGTGTGAGAATTTCTTTAGCACTTAAGATGTCAAGGGTGCACAAAAGATTCTGTCTTCTACCTTTTGAAATTTTTTTGCCATTTAATAGTTCAGTACCCATTTATTTAGTTTTTATTGCTTGGGTTGCTAAAATCTGAATTGAAGCAAATGAAACTACATGAAAAGAATTCATTGAGAAACAAGAATTTTCAGACTCTCGGGTTATATCTCTAACTCATTGTTTTCTGATCATTTCTGAAATTTTTTATATTCCTTATTTTAAATAATTTTGATGACTTACAATTTTTTTTTGTAACATAGGCTCATGCTCTAGAAAGTGATGTCAAGAATGACCTCCTAGAACTTGCTTGCTTGTGTAAGACAGTAGTATGCTGCCGTGTCACTCCGCTCCAGAAAGCACAAGTAGTAGAGCTGGTGAAGAAGCACAAAAATGCTGTCACATTGGCAGTTGGTGATGGAGCCAATGACGTCAGCATGATCAAAAGTAAGAGGGCATGCCAATGGATATGCTGAATTTATTGTGTCTTCAAGTTCAGCACTTGGGAACATGTCATAAAGATTGCATTAGAACAGACTTTTGTCAGTGGTTCTAAAATGAACGATTCTTTCTAGGTCTAACACACTGATCATTATTAAAATACTTCTCACTATCATAATATACATTTACCAAAATACTTCTTTACCTTTCTTTAGTTAAACCTTCTTTATGTTTTCAGATTAGCATAGGGCATTGGTGACTGTATACCATATGGCACACAAAAGATGCTGTCTTCTATCTTTGATTGTTGGGGAGGTACTGAGTCCCCATGAGGAAGAGGAAGCCATGGCTCTGGAGTCCCAAGACATGGGCAAATTTTGTCTCAGCTCTGCCATTTACAAGTGTTAGAACTTGTGTAAATTTGCTGAACTTTTCTGAGTTCTATTTCCTCTTTTGTAAAAGTAAGATAAATACCTATCGTATTTCATGAGATAATGTACATTTGCTCAGCTCCATGGTCAACACTCTTGGCACCAGCAGCCAGGAAATAAAAAAAACATATTGCGATGGGACAGTCTGCTGTTAGGGACCTCTCTAAAGTACCCAAGAGCAACGGTGTCTCTCTGGAGACTAAGGTGCGCCTGATACAAGCCATGGTCTTTGCAATCACTTGTTATGCATTAGAGAGTTGGACAATGACTAAGGAGGATAGAAGGAGAATTGACACCTTTGAGCTGTGGTGCTGGAGAAGAGTATTGAATGGACTGCCAAGAAAACAAACAGATCCATCCTGGAGAGGGTTAAACCAGGCTACTCCTTGGAGGCAAGGATTCTGGGGCTCCGTCTGACATACTTTGGACATGCTGTAAGGAGAAACACGTCTTTGGAGAGGGACATCACTCTTGGTAGGGAAGAGGGACAGTGCAGGAGGGGAAGACCCTCTTTGAGGTGGATTGATTTAGTGACTGGGGTAATCGGGATGGGTGTGTCAGAGGCAATGCTATTGGTACAGGATAGAGCAGGGTTTAGGGCTGTTGTACATAGGGTCGTTATGAGTTGCAAACGACTCGACGGCACATAACAACAACAACAACAACAATGTATGTTAAAAAAAACCCACAATAAAGAAACCAATAAAACTATATCTGTTTACAGATGTGTGATTTCTATATCTAAATAAGCCTAAAGAAGGCTATTGTGCATTTGTTTCAGGAATGATAGTGTGTTTCCTTTCTTTTTTAGGTGCTCACATTGGCATTGGCATCAGCGGGCAAGAAGGACTGCAGGCAGTCTTGGCTAGTGACTATTCATTTGCACAGTTTCGATACCTGCAAAGGCTTCTCCTGGTTCATGGAAGGTGGTCCTATTTCAGAATGTGCAAATTCTTATGCTATTTCTTCTATAAGAATTTTGCATTCACACTTGTGCATTTCTGGTTTGGTTTCTTCTGTGGTTTTTCAGCTCAGGTTGGTAAAAGCTCTTCTTTCTTTAACAAGATTCCCTGAATTCCAAATGGCCCTTTCATGACTCCTCACTAATAAATAGAGCATTTTTATATGCATAACACAATTGACAATATACAATTAAGTTAATACAATTGACAATATACAATGAAATAACTAATAGTTGACTTGAGCGTTGAACTCAGGAAGAACAGATATTTAATAGGAATTTTAAAATAGTTTCTCTCTTTATGTACAACGAATATTCCTTTTTATGAATTTTTATTTAGTTTTTACTTCAACGTGCATGTTTTGGAATCTTAATGGAGAATTTTAATTCAGAATGTATATTTGAGGAAAACATAAACAGGAAACATTCTTCCATGAAGAAAGTGGTCACTCTTACAATACACTGAATATATAGTGGCTGAGAGTTAATGTGTTTTAAATAAGGCAGAAGTAATTGATACCTTGGCATCAAGGTTGTATTAACAGAAATTCATCAGGGGAAAAAAATGACAGCAAGTATTGGCAACAAGAAGTGAAAATTATCAAATTCATGGGTTTGAGTTCTATTTTTATATCTACATGTATTAATTTTAAAAGATAGTTATTTAAACTGTATCTTAGATATCAAGCAAGTTACATCATGGGTAGCAACTGTGAATTGTAAGCTATATAGCACTGAAATATATTTATGAATAGAAAATAATTTTGCCACAACTTTAAGTAAGTATAGGTGTACCATTAATATTTCCAAGTGACAAAAGTAAAAGAGTTTACTTGGTATGAGGTGATAAACATAATTTTAATGAGCATTCTTCCGCTGTCTTTATTCCTTTTGCTTTTAATTAATGACACTGGCTTTTAATAGCATTGTTGTTGCATACAATTGAGGTGGAACAACTCACAGCTGACCCTCCAGCAGCTTTTCAAGTGTATGTAACCACAGAGGAGGAGACTGCCCATATTTCTCCTGTAAAACAGCTGGTGAATTTAAACTTCATGGCTTTGAATTGATGGTGCAACTTCTTACCAATAAAGCAATTAGAGCTCAGCAAAATATTAAGTTTTTAAAATAATTTTTTTTCCTGGGAAAACTGAGTGGAAATGAAATCTTGGTATTTTCTGTCATCTCAAATGTGCCAGCGAAGATTAATAAATTCTTACAATAATAAGGGACCCATGATAGATTAGAGTCTTACCAGTCAGGCTGCTGCTAACCTGAGTTACATCATTGAGTCAAATATGACTCATGTCAACATTATAAACACAGAGTTGAATCTTGTGCTATCCTGTGCCATTCTCATCATCTCTGATACACTTGAGCCCAAGTCAATCTACCTGTTTGGGGGTTTTCCACTCTTTCACTGATCTTCCAACTTTCCAAGCATGATTTCCCTTTCCAAGGACTAGCCTTTCCTAACAAAATGTCAAAAGTATGAGAGACAAAGCTTCACCATCTTTGCTTTCAAAGATCACTCTGGTTGCACCTTTTCCAAGACATATCTGTTTGTTCTTTTGGCAGTCCATGGAATAGTAAGTACCTTTCTCTAACACCACAGTTCAAGGGCATCAATTCTACTTCTGTCATCCGTATTCATTGTTCAGTTTACAGAAGCATAGCAAGTGATTGAAAATACCATGGCCTGAGTCAGGAGTACCTTAGTCTTCAAACTGACACAATTGCTCCTATAAGCATTTTGGAAGGGTCCCTGGCAGTGAACTTGCCCAGAGCAATATATCAGAATAAGGCCAGGTGCTGACTGTGGAATAGACTATTCATCTGAAGTTAAAATTGAGGCTGAAGAAGATGAAAAGAAATCCACAGGAACCAAAATGTGACCTTGAGTCTATTTTACCTGAATTAAAAAAATCATCTTAAGAATGAGTTTGAGGCATTGATCATCAATGATTGAAGACCAGAGGAGCTGTGAGATGATCAAAGATACCATACATGAAAACAGCAAAAGGCCATTACAAAAACTTGAAGAGAAAGAAAACACCAAAATCGATGTCAGAAGAAACTATGAAAATTGCATTAAATCATTGAGAGGCCAAAACAAAGGGAAGAGATGCCAAAGTAAAAGAGTTGAATATAAGATTTCAAAGGGCAGTTTGGGAAGATAAAGCAAAGTATTATAACAATATTTGCAAAGAGCTGTAGTCAGAGAATAAAAAAGGAAGAAAACACTCAACATTTCTCAAACTGAAAGGACTAAAGAACAAATTCAAGTCTTGAGTTGCAATACTTAGGAATGCCATGTGAAAAATTTTGAATGATCCAAGAAGCATCAAAAGAAGGTGAAAATAATACACAGAATAACTGTACTAAAATAATTGGTTGACACAGAAAAATTTCAGTAAGTACAGTATGAAAAAGAGCCGATTGTAACAAAGAAAAAGGTTCAAACTGCATTGAAGACACTGGCAAAATATAAGGCTCCAGTTATAGATGGGATACTGAGGGACATGTTTCAACTAACAGATGTAACCCTGGACATGCTCACTAGTTCATGCCAGGAAATTTGGAAAACAGCTTCCAACTGGAAGACATCCATTTTTGTTCTTCTGCCCAAGAAGGGAGATTCAACATAATGTGGAAATTATCAAACAATTTCATTAATATCACATGCAAGCAAAATATTTCTGAAGATTATACAAAAATGACTGGAAAGTACATTGACAGGAAACTTCCAGAAGTTCAAGGTGGTTTTAGAAGGGACACCAGGGATACCATTGCAGATGTCAGGTGGATTCTGGATGAAAGCAAAGAATACCAGAAGAATGTCTGCTTTTTGTTGACCATGTAAAGACATTTGACTGTGGACTACAACAAACTATGGCTAACATTGAGAAGAATGGGAATCCCAGAACATTTAATTGTCTTCCTGCAAAATCTATGCCTGGATCAAGCTGTCTGAACGGAGCTAAGGAACATTGCATGATTTAAAATCAGGAAGAGTGTGCATCAGAAATGCATCCTTTTATCCTTACCTATTTAGTCTGTCAATTGACATAGTTCAGCTAACAGATGCTGCCCTGGATGCGCTCACCAAGTTGTGCCAAGAAATCTGGAGAACAACCACTTGGCCAACTGACTGGAAGAGATCTATATTGGTTCCCATTCCAAAGAAAGGTGACCCAACAGAGTGTGGAAACTATAGAACAATCTCACTGATTTCACAAGCAAGCAAGATTTTACTGAAGATTATCCCAAAACGACTGGAACAGCACATCAGCAGAGAACTACCAGAAGTCCAGGCTGGGTTTAGAAGGGGTCGTGGTACTAGGGATATTGTAGCTGATGTTAGCTGAATCTTGGCTGAAAGCAGAGAATACCAGAGGAATGTCTATCTGTGTTTCATTGACTATGCAAAGGCATTTGACTGTGTGGATCATAACAAACTGTGGCTGACTCTGAGAAGAATGGGAATCCCAGAACACTTGATTGTTCTAATGCGAAACTTATACTTGGACCAGGAGGCAGTCGTCAGAACAGATCAAGGGAACACTGCATGGTTCAAAATTGGGAAGAGCGTACACCAGGGATGCATCCTATCTCCATACCTTTTCAACCTATATGCAGAACAGATTATCCGGAAGGCTGGGCTCTATGAGGAGAAATGTGGGGTCAAGATTGGTGGACGATTTATCAACAATCTGCGTTATGCGGATGACACAACCCTGCTTGCTGAAACTGAAGAGGACCTGAAGCGCCTGCTGCAGAGTGTCAAGGACTGCAGCCTACAGTATGGATTGAGGCTTAATGTCAAGAAGACAAAGATTCTCACCACTGGGCCAGCTGGCAGCATCAGGATGGATGGTGAAGAGATTGAGATTGTACACAGCTTTAGTTTGCTTAGCTCCACAGTCAACACTCTTGGCACCAGTAGCCAGGAAGTTAAAAGGCCCATTGCCATGGGAAAGTCTGCTGTTAGGGACCTCTCCAAAGTACTGAAGAGCAATGGTGTCTCTCTGGAGACCAAGGTGCATCTCATACAGGCCATGGTCTTCACAATCACTTGTTATGCATCAGAGAGTTGGACAATGACCAAGGAGTATAGAAGGAGAATTGATGCCTTTGAGCTGTGGTGCTGGAGAAGAGTATTGAGGGTACCATGGACTGCTAGGAAAACAAACAGATTTGTCTTGAAAAGGGTTAAACCGGGTGGGTCCTTGGAGGCAAGGATTCTGAGGCTCCACCTAACATACTTTGGACATGTTGTGAGGAAAGACCGGTCCTTGGAGAAGGACATCATGCTTGGGAGGGTGGAGGGACAGCGGAGGAGGGGAAGGCTCTCTATGAGGTGGATTGATTCAGTGACTGGGATAATTGGGATGGGAGTGTCAGAGACAGTGCGATTGGCACAGGACAGAGCAGAGTTTAGGGCTGTTGTACATAGGGTCGCTATGAGTCGCAAGCGACTCGACGGCACACAACAACAACAACAATATTTAGTCTGTATGCTGAGCAAACAGTTCATGAAACCAGACTCTATGAAACCAGACTCTATGAAGAAGAATGTGGCATAAAAATTAGAGGAAGCCTCATCAACAACCTGCATTATGCAGATGACACAACCTTGCTTACTGAAAATGATGAGGACCTGAAACGCTTTCTACAGAGCATCGAAGACTACAATCTTTAATACGGATTACATCTCAACATCAAGAAAACAAATTTCCTTACCACTGGGACAATAGGCAACATTATAATAGATGGAGAAAGCATTGAAACTGTCAATGTCTTTGTCTTAATTGTATCCAAAACCAACACTCTTGGTAGCAGCAGTCAGGACTTACTAAAAGCCACTGAAAATGCATAATGAAACAACTCATCACAAAAGACCAGGGTCTAATATGTGTCTGGTGTTTTTTTGGTTGTTCTATATATAGTATTTCATTCCCACCACAAAGTTTGTCAGGAGGGAAGGTTTAAGTACCACTCTAGAGATGAAAAATTTACAGAGGTCTAGTCATCACATAAAGGCAGCCAAGTTTGTAGGAGATATTGCCCAGGAGTAACTTCTGTCTGACTCTAAGACTAAATTTCAACTCACCACAGAAGAATGGCTAATTGAACCCAAACATTTGAATGTCTCATTACTATGGATGCTGCTTCTCACTGACGTGTTGTTCTGCTGTTTCAGACTGTTTATGACCAGTGGTTCATCACCCTTTTCAACATTGTCTACACATCACTGCCTGTTTTAGCCATGGGGCTTTTTGACCAGGTATGCACTCTTCTCTGTCCTTAAAACATATTTTCTTCTGTTGAAGCCTTTGGTTGTTTCTAACTTTTATGTAGATGATTCATGGCAAAAGTCCAAGAAATACAACTGTTTCAATGGGTTTTTGTGTATCCCAAGTTCCTTCAGATTTGATCCCCAAGAAGGGTCATTTGATCCTTTGACTACCTCATAACTCTAAAGGTTCTGAAAATACCTGCAGTTACTAGAGTCTTCAACTTGATTTAGTCTGTTCTTTTCCAGACTCATATAGGACTACAGCATTTCACCTCTTTACCACCACCATATATCAGCTATTAGTGGAGTCCTTGGTTAGTGCTAGGGGGTTCAAGTTCACCAGGGGTACTTTGGAAGTAAAAAAATATGACCATCTAATTCTGAAAAGTCAGCCAATGAAAACTCTTTGCAACACAGTTCTGCCCTGTGACATACACAGGGTCACCATAAATCACAATCTACTTGAGGGTGACTGGGTAGGTGATCACTTAGTCATGCACCACAGAACGAGGATCAAGTGGCTCACATCCTGGAGGATGCTGCATTAGTGTCGGAGAATTGATAGAGACTAGACATTTAGAGGTAGAATATCACAGACCGAGGTTGAAACACAGAGGGCAGGCATCTGTGGTGGGGCTTCCTTGGCCAGCACAGCCCCAGAACAGAAACCACAGGCAGGCATCGCAGCCTGCCAAAGAGCGAGGAAGACACAAAACCCCCTGCCAGCCACGAAGAGAAGGGCACACAATCTTCTATTGTCTAGCATCAATGTGCTCCTAAGGGGAGAAGGGAGGGAGGGACACAATCAAAAAGCAGTGCATCCTTGGCACACTCAGGGCCTTGGAAGGTACTTCCTGGAAGGGGAGCATGGTCTGGCTGCCTATGGGGAAGTGAAAGGCTAGCCAGGGGAGTTTCCATGGCACAATTAGAGTGTATTATTTAAGAAAATTTTTTCAAGTATTTTTAAGGATACCAGACTTTCTCCAGGCTGTTCATAGACCCGTTTGCTGGGCCCCATTTTCTGGCCTGAAGCCTTATTGCAAAATATAAATCTTCACATTATGAGCTCATTCTGTTCTGCTGGCTTCCTAGTCAGTTGGAAGTCTTAGTTCTCATATGTTTAAAAAAAAAAAAGACAGTTTGCAAACAGCGTACTTTGAAGAATTCTACTAAAAGTGTTGAACTCCTGAAGACCCTACATGAGAAGGGTTAAGATGTTCATTTCCAAGTGCCCATGTTTACAAGTGTTTCTTTTCTTGGTGCTTTGTCGCTGCCCAGAATGTGGAAGAAAATAATAAAAAGAAAGCAGATTCTGGGAAAAGATGGTTATTGTGCAATTTAAAAAAAAATATAATAAGGTCCCTATTGCCATCAAGTTGAGTGTCTCCCCCTGTTCTTTCCCCCACTGTCAACTTTGACCCTTAAATGGATCACAGAATCATGGAATGCTGAACTGGAAGTGGTCACCTATGCATTTAAACATTTAATAATGAGGAAATGAAGACTCACAGGTTCTAGTGACGTGCTCTAAAGCAAGATAATTCATAACTGACAGAACTAGGTTCAGTGGCCAGGCCGCTTTAGGTGGAAGTTGTTATGTTTTTACTAAAGACCCCTGGTGGCACAACAATTAATCACTCAGCTGCTAACCAAATGGTTGGTAGTTCAAAACTACCTAGCTGGGGCACCAAAGAAAAACCCAATAGTCGAATCTGTCACCTGGAGTCACATGTCATTATCAGAATTGACTCAATAGTACCCAACAACAACATTTTCACTACTGTTATTACTATTTATACATACATGTTTTGTTTAAGACTTATTTTTTGGTTCAGCCAAGTACTCCTTAGAAAGGATGGTGGAATTTTGTCTCATATAGATTTGAGCATGTTGTCAGGATGCCTTAGTTCTTGGAAAAAGATATCCTGCTAGGAATGGTAGAGGGTCAGCAAAAGAGAGAAAGACCCTTCATGAGATGCATTAACCCAGTGGCTACAACAGTGGGCTGAGCATGAATGATACTGTGATGATGGCAGAGGCTAGAGCAAGGTGCTGATCTTTTGTTCATAGGGTTGCTATGAGACATAACACCTAACAGCAACAAGAGCAGCACTCAACTGGGTACTACCTACATTCATTTGATCATGGAAGTGATCCAGTGAGAAAGCCATTATTGTTTGCTTTTTATAGATGAGGAAACTGAGGCCCAGGTTAATGAACAGGCTTAGGTCTACGTGCTTGCTAAGCTACAGAGCCAAAGTGTGAACTCAGAAAAGTAGAGTTTCAAAGCTTATGCATCTAACCCCACAAATCAGTATGCCGGAGGAGGTACTATCCCAGCAGTATCTCCAAGCAGGATTTCCTAGAGAGACTTGGCCCGTGTTCCTCCTGGGATCCAGTTCAGTGAACCTAACACCCACAAGGGAGAAGCAGGATATGATTCCCCCCGCTGAGCCCACAGTCTGTAGTTCTTCTCCCCTTTTTGGCTGCATCTCCTCTTCCTGTCACCCTCCCGTGTGCTCAAGGGTCACCTCTTGGTATCTGTGTTGGTTCTTGGCAGTTGGGTTTTGGGGTTTACAGTGTGGTTGGTTGGAAAGGTGGGATTTCTAGCTCCACCTATTGAATCAGCATTTGTTCCTGAGATGATTTGTGGGCACATTGTGTTTGCAATGATGCTTTAGTTTTTCCCAAAAACTATTTGTTGCCAAGAGTGATAGCTTCTCATTCTGCCCAGATTGCTTGTCCTGAACACTTGGTAACAGACACTGTAAGCCTCACTGGATAGAACACTTAAACCTTCAATCTTTTTCAGTCCCCATTTCACCTGGAATTCCATCTGGAATTTGAACCTTCTTCTGTCTTCCTTTCCTGCTCTCCTCCTTTCCCCAAAATGACAGCTTAGAATTGACAATCCCCACCCCACCCTTCCACCCTCTCAGCTTTCTGTTGCCGCTGCCTGGTCGCTACCACTTGCTGCTTTGACAATTTACAGGTAGTTGACTACACAAAATGGCCTGGGATTCTGAAAGCCTGCGTATACTTCTCAAGGGTGGCAGGTTGTAGAAGGGTATGAAAAGGAGCTTTTGATTTGAAGTCAAGTATCTGATTTAAAGCTGACCTAAGTACTTGGATAGCTTCTATGACTTAATTGTTGTATGATCTTTTATAAGTCTTTATCTGAGTCTCAAGTTCCTTATCTGTAAAATAGGATCATTTTATTATTTTCATGGTTATTGTGGGAATTACAACAAGATAATACCTTGCTCTGGTTTACTGAGTAGTATATGTGAGGGGATGCTTAACAAAATGTCTTTGCTGTTTCTGGAGACATGGACTATGAGGCATCTCTGTTTTCTTCTTCGACTTTTCTCTGCTAAAGCAACATTCTGTTTAACAGGACGTGAGTGACCAGAGCAGCATGGACTGTCCGCAGCTTTATGAACCTGGACAGCTAAATCTACTTTTCAACAAGCGTAAATTTTTCATCTGTGTGGCACATGGAATCTACACCTCCTTAGCCCTTTTCTTCATCCCCTATGGGGCTCTTTACAACTCAGCTGGAGAAGACGGACAGCACATTGCTGACTACCAGTCCTTCGCAGTGACCATGGCCACATCTTTGGTCATTGTGGTCAGTGTACAGGTAACCCTGTTGGTGAAACATCTTAACATGGCAGATGTACAGCTTTTGAAATCCCATTCCATTGTTGGCTGGCTTTGTCTATTTGTTAGGAAAACAAATAATGCAGAAGAGATGCTGTTGTTTTCTTCTTCACTATATATTTTGAGATGAAAACAAGCAGCTTAACATAAATTACCAGGCCAAGGGGATTAGCATTAGATTTCTAATTTCTTACTGTTTAGTAGGAACCTAGAAATAGTTCACTTCTTTAGTCTGAGCATAACCTAAAGATAACTGAGTACAGTAGTTCCCAATACAATAGTGCTCTAAGAAGAAAAACTTTCCAATAAAAAAAGGAAAGAGGTAGATCCTTAAAATTTCCAGGAGAAAAAAAAATTTCCAGGAGACTTAACACATTCCAAATTTTACAGTGAGATAAAAATATATTTGGTAATACAGTTCTGTGGAATTACTCAAGAAGCTTGACATTGTATTTGTGGCATTTTAAAAAATCTCATATTCAGAGTTGTTTTCCTGGTTGGGCTGTTCTTTATTTTCCATTGACTTTCTTTCATTAGGCTCCTTAAACTATAACTTTATTTCTTTTAAATGGAAATTGTAGGCAACACCACTCAACTATTGAGTTAGAGTTCACACAAGCTGTATGATCGATTTGTTGAGATCTGTAACTGAGGATAAGAACTGCAAGCAATGTGACTACTGCATTGCTTTGCTACTTTTGGATTAATGAACAATCCTTTATAATCCCAGGGAGCTCTGATAGCCCAGTGGGTAAGGAGTTGTGCGGCTAACTCAGAGACAGGCATTTCAAATCCACCAGCTGCTCTAAAGGAGAAAGGGAAAAATCTCTTCTCTTGAGATTTACAGCCACTATAAATGCTTAAGACAGTACACAACAACAACAATATAAATTGCTTAAGCATCAGCTGTAAGTCAGTTCCAATATGATGATAATGAGTTTAAGATGCATTTTCCTTACTATCCCAGCCCAGAGAATCAGATGACCTCCTTCTTGTCATTAGGGTACATTTCCAAAATTTTTGTTCCAGGTTGAGAAGTCAGTGGATAGGAAGAGATAATGACTTATCTACCTTCAGGTAAGGCCCCTCACTTGATGCACTAAAAGGCCAATGTCTGAAGGAAAAAAAACCCCCACAAAATAGAAAACATTCACCGAACTATCCTTAGTACTGCTGTTATTATTACTGAGTACCATGGGAGGAGATTGCCCACCCTTCTCCTGCAGAGCAGCTGGTGTATTCTTAAAGGCATGTCTTTGGGATTGCAGCCTAGCTTCTTACTATTAGGCCACCAGAGCTCCCTTTGTATTGCATACTATATACGAAAAGTTGAAACAAACCCATTCCTGCCAAGTTGATTGACTTACGGTTGTCTGTTGTGTTTCTGAGGTGGTAAATCTTAATGAGAGCAGACTGACATATCTTTCTTCTGCAGAGTGGCTGGTCAGTTCAAACTGCCACTAACCTTTCAGGTAGTAGTTCAACTCATAAGAGACCACATCACTAAGGGTCTTCATATGTACTAATAAGAAAATATGGTACCTGGAAGATATGCTTTATGATAGGCACTAACAGTATTCACTATTAACATAGTGATCATGGCTTTACTTAATTTTTTAAGTAATATAAATATTGACATATTAGGCATTGGAGAGATGAGATGGACTGGCATGGGGCATTTTGAGTCAGATGACCATATATTACTCTGGAGATGAAAAGA